TTCTACCACCCACTCTGCACACAATTAGCTCAGCGATTTTCTTAAAATGCAAACTGAGGTCACTTCACTCTCTTGCTTAAAACCATCCAATGGCTCCCTCTGCCCTGTGGGGAAAGCTTAGTCCCTTGGTGGGATGTGCAGGGCTCTTCTGATGGGCGACTTCTAGTTTCTTCCAGTCAATGCTCGCTGCTCATCTGTTTGCCTTCATCCCTTCAGCAGGCCCCCTACTCTCTGCTCCCGGGCACATCTCTTTCCCCTTCCCGACGCGCAGCACCCTTTTCTGGATAAGATCCTCTTTCACTCCCTTCTTGGGTTCTAGGACACTCATCTTTCATTCTCAGCTGAAAAGTCACTTCCGCGGGTGATGCCCCTCTCAGCCTCTTAGATAGACCCTTCCTGCCTATGGTTACTCCATCAAAATACCTAAAATTCATTACTTGCTAATTAGCTTCCTGGGGTGGCTGTAACAGAGAGCTTGAAATTGGGTGGGTTAAAGTAATAAAGCTTGTTCCCTCACCAGTCCAGAGGCTGGAAGTCTGAGGTCAAGATGTCAGCAGGGCCATCCTCCCTCTGAAGGCTCTTGAGGGCGGAAAGTAAGGTGGACACTTACTTAACCTTCTAACTTCTGGTGGCACCTGGAAAACCCCGGCCTTCCTTGGCTTGTACTGGTGTCCCTCTGATCTTTGTTGCATCTGCACATGACAGTCTTTCCCACATGTATCTCTGTGTGTCCACTCCTTTTCTTATAAGGACATCTGTCACTAAATTTAGGACTCAACTGAACCCAGTTTGACCTCATTTTATCTAATTACATCTACAAAAATATTATTTCCAAATAAGATCACAACCCAAGATTGCTGAAGGATGTGAATTTTGAGGGGACACACTTCAACCCAACTGCACATGTCTATAGCACTCCACGTGGTCCTGTGAGGACTGGGCCCTGTCAGCTAATATTCCCACCACTCAAAACAGCTATTCCCATGGGAGAGTCCTTCAAAAGTTAGGTGACAACTTTTATAGGCAAACTGATCTGATGAATTCTATGAATTAAACAATCTCCACATTCCTAGGATAACTCCTATTTCATCGTGGTGGAAGTTCCTCTTTATGCATTACTAAATTAAACTCTTAGCACCTTAGGATTTTCACATCTCTTTTCAGGTGAGTGTGGGTCTGTACCCTGTCTTGGATATGCTACCTCCGGGTGCTGAGGTCACATGAACTACAAAATAACGAATTGGGCAGATTTCAACCCACAGATAGCTTATGAATCGGAAACTATTTCTCTACTATCACAGTGTCCTTGCTTAATCATTCCTTTCAAATGAATAAAAATGTATTGGCAAAAACAGATTACCTGAATTTTTTAGAGGAAATTCTAAGATAACTTTGAAAGTTGTCAAGAACTTTCGTTCTCCGTGTGGTTAAGGGACTTACGGTGTTTTCTACTTTTTTGAGAGTCAGTTTTAAAACATTGCAGGGCTGGATCAAGGGCCATGTAACCAAGAGGAATGCCTAAAACCCAAATGAAGGCAGAATATGATAGTGGGACAAGAGGAAAGTACAAAGAAATAGAGGAAAGAGCTAGGAGGCAAAGGGTAGTCATAAAGATGTAAATACAGGCATATAAAGATGTAAATATATTTATATATGACGAGGGGAAAATAGATCTATGTACATATATTTATAGGTTGAGTATTAAGAAAACAGATGGACAGTGGGCCCCTGTACAAGTACTCCCTCAACACAAGAACACATAGTTCTAACAATTCGGCAGTCTGAGATGCTCACCTGCCTGGCATGATCACTGAAGACAATGGGTGCACAAGATAATGTGGTGAAGAAAGCGGATGGTGCTGGGCTACCAAAAGATCTAACACCGGAAGTCAATTCCAACTCAATGTCTCATAAGGGCAGAGTGGGTTTGCAAGACTGTACATGGTTACAGAAGTAGAGAACTTCATCTTTCCCTTAGGGGCAGCTGGTAGTTTCGAACTGTTGACCTGACAGTGAACAGCCCAACATGTAAGCTACTACGCCACCACAGCGACTACAACATTCTAAGTATGTGAAATTGCAGTTATAAGACTTGGAATTTGAAGGCTTAGACATTTTTCCACCTTGCTGTAGAGCACTGAATTCGAGCACGTGGCTGTGCGGTGTTGGCATGCCAGGAAGGACCTCAAATACTTTTGTAACCATGAGGGTTCTATGGTTCCTTGAAAAGAAGCTGTGAAATCTTAAGAAGAAAAATGATATCACAAATTCAACTTGATTATATTATTCACAAAGACCTGGGTAGTGCAAACGGTTAAGCATACAGCCACTAGCCGCAAGGCCGCTTCAAACTCATGGGAAGTGTCTTAAAAGAGGAGCCAGGCAAGCTGCTTCAGGGAGGTCACAGCAAGAAGACACGGAGTCGTTGTGCTCAGCACAAAGGTGTCACCAGGAGTCAGGATCAGCTCAACAGCGGCCCACACGGGACAATGACATTCAACACGCCTGCTTTTAAAAACATAGTCTGTGAAAGGCCTTGGGAGGGGTACTGCAGGTTCCCACAGTTATGTTTTCAATAGCCCCCCCCTCCCCTTTTATTTAGTGTATACTTTGGGGGCATAGAGGTCCACACCCGCATCGTGGCTGTCTTTCATCCTCTAAAGTGAAAAGGCTTTCTGTGGGTCAAGAGAGCGGGCTTGGATTCAGGATGAATTCCTGGAATTCGTTCTGAGCCTTCCTTGTCATCTTTCCATTGTGTTTCTTGTAAATCGTGTGTGGTTTGATTTGAATATTTATTTTGGCTCTGAGAATCTTTTTCTTTTAGTAGAAGACTTCAGCCCTTTTCTGAATTAGGATACCTGGAGTGCTTGATCTGATTATGGTTTGATTTCTTTGTACTTGAGTCTAGTGAATGACCCCTGGAGGTGGAGTGGGTTACCTTTTGGGTTGCTAACTACAAGGTCAGCAATTAAAAACCACCAGCCACACCGCAGGAAGAAAATGAGCCTTTCTACATAGAATCACAGTCTCAGAAACCCACAGGTGTGGTTCTACCCTGTCCTATGGGGTCACTATGAGTCAGGATCAACTCCATGGCAGTGAATTTAGTTGAGTTGGTTTGGTTGAATGTAATGAGCCTCAGGATCGGTGAACTGGCTGTCTGAAAGAGAAGCCCGACTCTCACAGGGTGCACCACCACCCACTGGCTACACTTAGGCTTCTCAGAATCACTTTAAGCTTCAGTGTCCTTATCTGTGAACTGGGGACAGAAGCTTGTTCACTCTCAGGGTGCCTCATCCCATTATCCTTCTTTTGAAAAAAAAAATGTAGTTTACAAATAAAAATTTCATTTGAACCTTTCCCCCACCAAAATCAAGTGGTTTTATTTGCTTGCAATACAAGCACATGTTGCTTTTTTAATGCTCTCCGTGTTTTTAAAAATAACTTTCTATTGCAGACTAGGTGAAAGTTACAGAGCAGATCATCAGTCTTACATTCGCTAATTCAAATGCATTTTGTTTCAACTCATCCACTGAAACCTGCTCAGCGTGTGTTCATGTATTCTGTCTTTTCCTTGTGTTTCCCGTTTCTGTTCCTCCTTCCTGCTCAGCCCTCCAGTTTCTTCCTCGGGTAAGTGCTGCCCTTTTGGTCTTAAATGTCTGATTATACTGGCACAGGGTGAAGACAGCTTCAGATCTGTAGGATGGCTATGGGCCATCTCAGGGATCCCACCTGCCTCCTTCTAATCAGTAAGCCTGGTCTCTTTTATGACTTTGAGTTTCGCTTCATATTTTTCTCCCACTCTATTCAGGACCTTCTCATGTGATTCTTTACAGAGCAGTTAGTGGTGGTAGCGGGGCACTATCTAGTTCTTCTGGTCTCAGTGTAGAGAATGAGATTTGTGTGGTTCATTAGCCCATTAGTCTGCTGTCATGTTAACAATTTTAGTACAGGTGTACAGCTAAGTGACATTAATAATATGCAACATGTGGTGCAACCATCACCACCATCTGTTGTCAAATTTTTCATCACCCTTAACAGAAACTCAATGTCTCTTCCCTATTAGCTTTTCATTTTCCCTTCACACCCACCCCTGATCACCACTAAAAAGGTTTTTTTTCTATGCACTTGCCATTCTAGACATTTCATATAAGCAGGATCATACAATATTTGTTTATTTTCCTGTGTCTGACTTATTTTACTCAGAATGTTGGAACAATCAGATCCTGGCATATATCAGAACTTCATTTCTATGACTGAGTAATGTACATATTATTTATGTGATGCACACATTGTTTATATAAAATATTTTGGTTTTCCATTCATCCTTTGGTAGATACTTGTGTTGATTTCACCTTTTCATTGTTATAAATAATGCTGCAGTTGATGGACAAGTAGATGTTAGAGTCTCTGCTTTGAATCATTCGGGCATATACTGAGGATTGAATCATTGAATGTTATAATTCTTTGCTTACTTTTTTCAGGGGCCACTATACTGTTTCCTGCATCTGCTGTGCCATTTCGCATTCCCTCCAGTGATGCACAGCACCTCATGATCCCATTATCTTTCCATCTCAACCCATTCTCTCTGGATGCCTGCTTATCTATCCCTGCTTCAGAGACCGATGCTCACTGCTGTGGCAGATAATTCCAAGTTTGACAGGAAAATGAGGTTGGAAGGTCCGGAGGGCCCAACTGGTGCTGATGCTTTGTGACAGGTGGAGAGGAGGGCAAAGGTTTAAGACAATACTTGGTCAAAAGAGGAAGTAAAGAGTGAGTGAAATGAAGCAGAGAAATAGAAAGTGACTCACAACTGCTTTATAGGAACCATCAGGCAGCAGGGTAGGGAGGAGACAGGGAGGTTTTGTAAGCATAAACACTTTATAAGGGGGGGTGGGGGCAGAGAAGGGAGCATGCTTACTCCAGAGACCCACTCCACGGTGCTGGGCAAGGACCTGGTGCATCTGGAATGGCCAGGAGGGTCTACAGTGCTCACCCACCTTTGAGTGACTCAACAGGATGATCCGAACAAGGACTACGTTGATGTGGGCTCCCAAGGACTCATCATGGTAGATTTCGTTGACCTGAAAGACAAGTAGGAAGACATCAACAGGAACCATAGGCTCAAGAGCCAACCATGGTTTAGCAAATAACATCACCTAACATCACCGTCCACCATCCCTGAGTCCAGAATCCCGGGGTCTCCTCTAGCACCACTTTAATTCCTCCCTGTTGTCCAGGCTTTACATTCAGGCACCACCATTGACTAGACCTCTGAACCATCAATTGAGTCCATCCTTTCCTCTTTCCCATGTGCCATCTGCTCCCTCTTGTGGCCACCACCAACTCTGCCTGGATTACTAACTTGCTTCTCAAGGATTCTTGCCTGGAGCTGAACATGGACCAACAGGGAACAGGCTTAAGCCTCTAACTAGAGTGCAACATTCTCCTCAAGCATGATTAAAGGTTCCAGCAGGTAAGCAGTGCCTGTGACTGTTATCAGCAGAAACCATATCACAATGACTGCTGAGAGTTCTGAAATAGCAACTTTGGTGTCTACATATTTGCCTCTTCTAAATATTCATACAGGGGCCATTATACAATACGCGTCCTTCTGTGTCTCACTTATAGCACTCAACACGTTGTTAAGGTTCATTTAGGTCCTAGTAGATATATGCATATGGCAGTAGAATATTCCATTATATGGAGATACCATATTTGTGTATGAGCACAATGAAGTGCCCTGGGGTTCCTAGTCTTCTTAAGTTTATCCGTAGATTGTTATGTTCCACATAGTTGAATGCCTTGGAATAGTCAACAAACACATGTTTCTGGAATTCTCTGCTTTCAGCCAAGATCTATCTGACATCAGCAATGTTATCCCTTGTTTCATATCCTCTTCCGAACCAGGCTAGAACCTCTGGCAGCTGCCTGTCAATGTACTGCTTCAACCTCTATTGGACGATCTTCAGCAAAAAATTTTTGACATATGATATCAGTGATATTGTTCTATAGCTTGGTTTACATAAAGCAAAATTATATTAAGAAAAATGTGGCATCCGGATTGGAGGAAAACTAATCAACAACTTGAGATATGCAGATGATACAACTTTGCTTGCTGAAAGTGAGAAGAACTTAAGGTACTTGCTGATGAAGATCAAGAATTGCAGCCTTCACTATGGATTACAACTCAATGTAAAGAAGACCCAAATCCTCACACCTGGATCAATAGGTAGTATTATGATAAATAGAGAAAGGTTGTCATGGGTTCATCTTGTTTGGATCCATAATCAAAGCTCATGGAAGCAGCAGACAAGAGATCAAAAGATAAGTTGCATTATGTAAAGATGCTGCACAAGACCTCTTAAGAGTATTGAAAACAAAGATGCTAATTTAAGGACTAAGGGGAGCCTGATGCAAGTCAGAGTATTTTCAATTGCCTCACATGCATGTGAAAGGTGAGTGTTGAATAAAGAAGACAGAAGAAGAATTGATGCACTTAAATTGTGATGCTCGAGAAGAATATTGAAAATACCATGGACTGCTGAAAAGACAAAACAACCGCTCTTGGAAGAAGTATAGCCAGAGTGCCCCTTAGAGGCAAGAATGGCAAGATGTCATTTTACATACTTTGGACATGTTATCAGGACAGACCAGTCCGTGGAGAAGGACATCATATTTAGTAAAGTGGATGGGGCAGTGAAGGAGAATAAGATCCTCAAGGAGATTAACTGATACCATGGTTGCAACAATGTGCTCAAGGACAGGAATAATTGGGAGGAGGATGCAGAAATGGGTAGTGTTCCGTTCAGTTGTATATAAGGTTGCTATGGATTGGAATCAACTCGATAGCACCCAACAATAACAACAACAAAGAGGTCTTGTCCAGCAGATTTACCTAATGCAATGCAGTGACAGGTCTCTTGACCGTTGTTTTCAAGAGCATTGCTTGTGAATCCAAATAAGCCAAAATCATTGACAACTTCAATCTTTTCTCTACTTAGCATGATGTTACCGGCTGGTTTAGTTGTGAGGCTTTGGGTCATCTTTACATTGAGTTGTAATCCATAGTGAAAGCTGCAACCATTGGTCTTTATCAGTAAGTGCTTCAGGTCTTCCTCACTTGCAGCAAGCAAGGATGTGTCATTTGCATATCTCAGGTTGTTAATAAGTCTTCCTACAGAAGTTAACCAAGTACAAAAGGACAAGTACAATATGAGTCCACTGAGGTAAGTCCAAACAGCACAATGGGCATAGAGGAAAAGTAACTTAATGTATAATTTCTGGGTCAAGGTCCAAGCACTCTGGTAGGGGTTCAGACCATACCCAGGATGCATATGGCATCCAACTGAAAAGAAGGGGGGGAAAAGAAAAGAGACGATAGCATTGGGGGATGTGTTCGACAGAGTTCTCTAGAGAAACAAAACCAGGACACTATGATTATATATATAAATATATATGAGGATAGATATATACAGCATGAAGGAATATAACAGCTAATTAGTCCACACAGCAGTACGGAGAGTTCAGTTCAACTCACTTCCGTGGAACAGTTAATATATGAGAAGTCCTTCAACTCACTAGGGCCGCTGGGTCCCAGGTCAAGGAAGCAGACAGCTGAGTCTTCCATAGAGTAATGCAGGCAGTCCGGCCACAGGCAACAAACAGCAGGGTGGATCACTAACAGTAAGCAAGACAATAGGATCTGACAGGCCCAAGCTCACACGATGTATACACCAGCAGCAAGGTGAAGCAGGTCTCAAAGGAACCTCAAGCTCTAGCCACACAATCCACAGGTTGGCAGTTTCACAGGTAATGTAGCTCATAAGCTGAGGCAGAGAACTAGAAGCCGCACATTGGTCTGGTCACCAGAGAGGAAGAGAGAGAGAAGCAGGCTTGCCAAGCCATTTATCTCTTTGCTCTCCAATCAAACTGCAACCTTATTAATCCTACATGTTCCTATTGGCCAGGTTGACACAATAAACCTACCTATCACAGTCCACCTCTTGCCAATTTAGCACCTGTACACAATTCTTTAACCATATATAATTTCCAGACACTAATGAAATCACCCAGTGCTCTGAGGAGACAATCACAGATAATACAGAATGGGTAGTAGAAAGTAGTTCTGCCTATCAGTTATGTCCACGTTATCAATTGTAAAAGTGAGGTTTGTGATTGTCAGTTTATGTTCTTTATATGTGCTAATGAATATCTTTCCTTTGTTCATGTATGATGTACCTGATGCGATTAGATTCCGTTTGTTTTCTGTTATATGGATTATAAATGTTTGATGTTAGGTATAAGTGTGATTTTTCTACCCCTCTGTCTTTGCACATTTCATATAATGATTTACTTTTTCTTCTTGAGCTGCCCTTTGAAACTTCCTGTTCAACTCTTTTACTCTATTTCCTCTATTTGCTTTATCTACTCTATGATGGAAGTCTCAAAGTCTCTTCTGACATCCACTTTGCTATTATCTTTTTTTCCTGTCTTCTTGATGATCTTTTGCTTTCTTCATGTGTGATGTTCTTGATGTCGTCTTACAACTCATCAGGTCTTCTGTCATTCGTGTTCAATGCATCAAATATGTTGTTGAGATGTTCTCAAAATTCAGATGGGATAGGCTCAAAGTCATATTTTGGCTCTCCTGAACTTGTTTTATTTTCTTCAAGTTCAACCTGAGCTTACATATGAGCAACTGATGGTCTGTTCCACAGCTGTTGGCTCGGTTTTAGCTGCTGATAATTGAGTTTCTCCTTCGTCACTTCCCACAGATGTGGTCAATTTGATTTCTATGTATTCCATGTGGAGAAGTCCATTTGTCTAGTTGCCTTTTGTGCTGTTGAAAAAAAGTATTTGTCATAAATAAGTGGTTGGTCTTGTAAAATTCTGTCATGTGATTTCCAGCTTCATTTCCATCACCAACACCATCTACTGAAAACCGTTCCAACATTCCTCTTTTTCCAACTTTTGCATTCCAATCACCAATAATTATTGGTGTATCTTGATTGCATACTTGATCAATTTCTAACTGAAGATCTTGGTAGAATCCTTCTTCAATTTCTGCATCACTAGCTTTAGTGGTTATTGAATAAATTTGAATTATAATTGTATTAATTAGGTATTCCTGTGTATGGATAGACTATCATAGACTGCATTCTACTCCAAGAATGATCTTGAAATGCCTTTTGTGACTATGTATGCAAAGTAATTCCTCTCGATTGTGTCACTCCCAGCATAATAAATCATATAATTTTCTTATTCAAAATGGTCACTCTTAGTCCATTTCAGCTTACTAAGGCCTAAAACATCTATCTCTATTAGTTCCATTTCATTTTTAACAATTTCCAATTTTCCTAAATTTATGTTTTATAAATTACAAATTTCAATAATTAATTGGTATTTGTAGCTATTTCTTCTCATTTTGAGTCATCCCCCTCAGCAAATGAAGGCCCCAAAGGCTTTACTCCCACAGCCTTTCCTCCAGCATGTCATTACTGTTGACTCCACCTGGAGAAGGCAGCCCTTCCTCGGTCACATTTTGAGTACGTTCTGATCTGAGAGGGTCATCTTCTGGTACTGTCTCTGACAATGTTCTGCTTCTTTTCATGAGGTTTGACGTTACTAACAATGTTTTGAAGCTTTCCATAGGGTTTTCAGTGGCTAATTCCTCTGAAGTGGAAGTTTATTTCTTCTTCATCGTCTGTTCTTTGTCTGGAAGCTCTGTTGAAACCTGCTCACTTGGGGTGACCCTGCTGGCATTTGAAATACCAGTGACATAGCTTCCAGCATCACAGACACACACAAGCCACCACAGCACGACAAACAGACAGACAAGTGGTGGTCTCAATTTAGGTGTCTAAAAGTCCAAATTCAAGGCAGAAGCCCTGGGGAAAATCTTTCTTTCTCCATCAGTTGGGGAAAATCTTTCTCCATCAGTCTGGAGAAAGGTCCTTGTTTCCTTTCCAGACCTGTTGGACTGCTGTTCTTTGGAGATTCCCATGTGTCTTGGCATTGGTCTTCCTGTGGGTTTAGGAGATTTTCAACAGAGAGACTATGGGTCCAAAGGGCATGCTCTACTCCCAGCTTGTATTTCTTGGTGGTACTGAGGTCCCTC